CCACTGCGAAGCACTTTTTGATGTAGCGCTAAACTTTGCGTTTATGTGTTTTAAAGTGCATCCTCCCTAAGGGTACATATTCGTGGCATACTTTGAGGCTTATTAAATTATAAGCTAGCTGGTGTGCGCAAAGTTGCGGCTGAGCGTCACAGTTACCGTCACCGGTAATCGATTTAAAGTTATTCTCGAGCACCTGCATGCTCATTCCATGCCCCTGACTGACCGTTATATTTAACTTTCGTGATAGAAGTTTTTGAAATTCCCGTCATGGGCAAACTTTGTCCGATATGTAAAATTACTGAAGTTGTAGCAGTTCATGTTACGTGGTAACTATTCAGGCGGTGGCGGACATGTGTATATGTTGTAACCGACCCGCTTCAAATACCGGTAAATACGGCTCGGATTTCCCATACACCGAAAATGGCTTTGTAGGTGAAGCTGGTTAAAGCATATCAGTTTTCAGCGCCTACGTAGGAAAGATAATAACCTAATTTAAAAAAAAAATTACAGAGACAATATGTTTCAAATCCAAGAAGCCCCAAGAAAGGTTTCTCGGATAAATAGAAGGTTCGCATCTATCAACACTATGAACTGCGTCGCTCTTTCCTACTAATTACACTGATCAACATCCAAAAAATATATTAAATAAAATCAACAAAATATTACTATTTTTAATGTGCTAAAACCGGAATGAAACTTATTTTTTCAATATTAGTTCAAGTTTTAGAGATACGGTAATTATATGTGTTCCTGCTGTGACAGTGTTAATATACTGTAATTCACAAGAATGCACGTGCTACATTCTTATATTCGGCAAGGAAAGATGATATAATCGGCATGATTGTGTTACGTTATACATACGTGTACATTATACTGTTTTATATTAGCCATTTCTTCCTCAGTTGGCTGACAGCGTTCATGCAAGATGTCTCGAAAGTGTGTAAACAATCCAGATCAGTTTTGTTACGTGTGTGGTGATGTCACTTTTGCGTATCAGAGACGGTCTATTACTCCACTAATAACAACGGCATATCAGCTTTATTTCGGTTGTAAACTAGGTGATCAAGACAAACAGTGGGCACCCCACATCTGCTGTAATACATGTGCTTCAAATCTGAGGAGCTGGTTAAATGGCAAAAAACGGTCTATGCGCTTTGCTGTCTCAATGGTTTGGAGAGAGCCTACAAATCATATTAATGATTGTTACTTTTGCATGGTACCTTGTGTTGGAAAAGCCACAGGTATGTCCAAGAAAAAAAAATCGGTTATTAACTACCCAAACATACCATCTGCGATGAGACCTGTGCCTCACAGTGACGAAAATCCTATTCCAAAACCCCCAGAATCCTACACTTGCGAATCAGATCATGGCGATCGAGTGATTCGTCAGGAAGAAGATATGCCATCAACGTCAAGAGATCCTGATTTTATACCGAGCACGTCGTGCCACCAACCGCACAAAATAACACAGTCAGAATTAAATGATCTTGTAAGAGATTTAGAACTTCCAAAATGTAAGGCAAAGTGACTTGGATCAAGACTGCAGCAGTGGAAGACGATGTTTCGGAATGTGTTTTTCATAAACGCCACAAAGACTTAGAACCATTTTTCAATATGGAGAATAACTTGGTTTTCTGCAGTAACATTAACGGCTTACTGGCGGCTTTAAATATAAACTATAACCCAGAAGAATGGAGATTATTTATAGACAGTTCAACATTGAGTTTAAAGGCAGTGTTATTGCATATTGGAAACATTTTACCATCTCTTCTTGTAGGGTATGCAGTTCGCATGAAAGAATCATATGACAATAGGAAGTACCTATTGACATGCATAAAATACGATGAGCACCAATGGCATATTTGTGGCGATTTGAAAGTTGTTGCACTTTTACTTGGGCTGCAGCTAGGCTACACAAAGTTTTGCTGTTTTTTGTGTGAATGGGACAGCCGGGCAAAGGCACTTCATTACACCAGATAAAACTGGCCTGCTCGTCAATTCCTAGAGCCAGGTCAAAAAAATGTACAGCATATGCCATTAGTAGATTCGAAAAAAAATTTATTGCCACCACTGCATATCAAGTTGGGCCTAATGAAAAACTTTGTCAACGCATTAGATAGAGATGGGTCAGCTTTTCAATACCTGCGTCATAAATTTCCAAGACTAAGTGAGGCAAAGGTTAAAGAAGGTATTTTTGTTGGGCCACAGATTCGAAATATTTTGAAAGATACACAGTTTGAAAACACTTTAACAGGTATTGAAAAAACTGCTTGGAATGATTTCCGTCTGGTGGTCACTAATTTCTTGGGAAATAGAAAAGCTGACATCTGTAAAACCCTTGTCAAAAATATGCTGTCATCGTATCAAAAGATGGGCTGTAATATGTCTCTTAAGATACATTTCCTACACTCACACCTGGACTTTTTTCCAGACAATTGCGGTGCCGTAAGTGATGAACACTGCGAACGTTTTCATCAGGATATTTCAACAATGGAAAAAAGGTACCAGGGAAAGTGGAAACCTTCCATGCTTGCAGACTACTGTTGGACTCTTGGTAGAGATGCTCCAGAAACGATCCATAAAAGAACAGCAAAAAGACAGCGCATATAGTGATTCTTATAAGTATATGAATCTTGTTACTTTTTTTAATATATCCTTAAAAATAAAAAGTTTTTTTTCTAAACCGCAACTAATTTTTTTATTTCATTGTCATTTTTGGATTCAGCGCCCCAAAATTAACAAAGAAGTGCACTTTTCCCACAAGATGCAATTAAAAAACTAAAAATTGTTGTCCAGTGTTATGCTGGGTGTACCAAATTCGACTCTCACCATTGGAAAGGAAAGAAACGTTTCCCAAAACCTTTTTCCTTCCTTATTTGAGATGAGATTTCAAAATAAAAACTTTTTTAACGTTCCCACTTTTGTTCCTGTGCATGATGGCATAATCAGAATATCAATAGTCTCTTGTCCTCATTTATTAACTCTATTTTTTCCTATAGACGTCATATTGTATTTTTGCATAGTTGAATGTCTACTGAGAGACAAACAAAGGTAAACACCTACGTATGTTTATTAGAATTCAAGAATTTTTTACGTATCGATTTATCTTGCCATGAGTAACAAGTGATAAAATAGTCAGGTATTTCTGTTAGGTTTTTGTGGTCGCTGCGTGTATTGTTACCTTGGTTATTTTCAAGGTCAAACTTCCGTACGGCATATGGCCGAATACGGCAGTTTGGCCTTTTCTCTTATTGCCCACATTGGGTGCTACCTCGCATAGCTGAACAACGGCGTAACCGTTTGCTCTGGTGTAGGGATTCAATTCTATGGGGTGCTATTGCTTATGGAAGCAGATCACCACAAATTTTCATCGGAGGCAATATGACAGCCCAACGCTATATTCAGGAAGTAGTGGAGCCTCATCTTATTCCACATCTAAACACTATCCAAAACCCGATTTTTCAGCAAGGCAATGCCAGACCGTATGTTGCCAGAGCATTGTTAGCATTCACGGATCAACATCGCATCAACCGTTTACCCTAGCCATCACAATCGCTTGATCTATCTTCAACTGAACATGTCTGGGACATGATAGGTCGCAGGCGCCTGAATTTGCAACACCCTCCACATACTTTAGCAGCTCTTCCTCACGAAGTTACAGTAGCCTGGAATGAGATACCCCAACGGGATGTCGACCGCATTATCAGCACGTTGCCCAGGCGTATCGATGAGTGTATAAGAAATCCTGGATCCTTGACACATTATTGAACCAGCTTCTGCAGTCAGTTGACGAATCAAGCTGAAAATTTAATCATTTTACTAGTAAGGGACCCTGAACGTATATGCCAAAAATTATTAAAATCGGATAGCATACTTGGGTGTTTACCTTTTCTTGTCATTCAGTATAGTTCTTAATTCTGATTCTAAAATATGCTATACATTGACGTTACGAAACTTTGACGATTTAAGAAAAACGATATTATTTAAGCATTCCCGCAGTTTTTACGAACTCGGAATACACGAACGTACCTTGACGGTTCCAAACCTTGATGATTTAAAAGAAACGAATTTTCTAAGCATTCCTTCAGTTTTTTAGAACTCGGAATAGACGAACAGTTCTTATGGAATGTTCCTATAGTTTGTCATAACTCATCGAATAAAAAAAGTCCAATGCTAAAATTTATGATTACGTAACATTAGTTAAGTTACTTGCAGAAGACTTCTGACATGTTCGATAGATCATAAGCTTCTGTCAGAAGGAATTTTTGCAGATTAGGAGAACTTAAGTCTAGATTGCTTATTAGCACCTTCAAGAGTGACATTAAGTCATTATTTTGTTTTGGCAGAAAATAATAACGTTTTAGACTTTTGAGGGTTGACAGCCATAGGCAGACAGTTTGCAAAGCTACTACAGTATTTTTGGCATTCTGGGGATTAAAATAATGTAACAATAGTGCATAGTATGCTAAAGGTTGGATATTCGAATTATCAAGGATTTTGTTCAAGTCAAAAGGGTATATCAAAAATAATAACGGCTAAAACAGAGCCTTGGGGCACGCCTGGAGGAATTGGCACATGAGAAAATATTTTATCGAAGCAAACACATTGAGTCTTGTGATAAAGATAACTCTGAAAAATGAAAGAACTAAGCTATCAATACCTATTTAATTCAATTTAGATAGCAGTAATTCATAGTAAAAGCTTCCGAGAAATCTGTAGATATTAACGTTAAAGCTTCTTATCCTTAGGCACCTAAAATGTTATATCGCAAATTGAGAAGCGTGGATGTTGTAAAGCCAGATTGGAATAAGGAATTATTGAGTCTTTTTCAAGATAAGAGATTAATTGCAATTTTAGCAGCTCCTCCAGAGTTTTAGGCAGAATCCGTAATAAATTGGTAAGTCTAAGGTCGTTAAATTCAGCCGACTTAAGCTCTTGGGGATTGGTACGAGGGATGTTTTTTAAGTTTTACATATGGAAATAAAACAACACGGAAGGTAGTTTTAAATGACTATTGTTTTTCGAAGTATTCTCCACGAAGATTAGTACACATCTGCATGCGCTCGGACCAGTTTTCGAAGCACTTATTCCAGTCGTTTGCTGGCAGATCCAAAACGGCATTTTTGAATGCGTCAACTGCTTCTTCTGGTGACTGGAACCTTTGACCCCACAGTCTGTTTCTAATTTTCGGGAAGGTAAAGAAATCGTTAGGACTTAGATCGGAACTATATGGAGGATGGTCGTTCTCCTCCGTTAAATACTGCCTTGTTTTTTGGGCTGTGTGCGAGCTTGCGTTGTCTTGGTGGAGGATGATTCTTCTTTCAAGGTTGAATTTTCGAAGCTCGGTGATGACTTTTGGCAAACAAATGGTGGTATACCAATCCACAGTAACAGTTCTTTGCTCATTAAGAGGAGTTGTTGCAATATGACCAGCTCTTGATACCAATGTCGCCTGTAGTGAGAACATTGCACGTATTGTTGTGAAACTTTGAATTTAAGTTTACTAAAGAGGAAGGCTAAGATTCAGTACTGACGTTCGATCCGCGCGGCCTACTATGTTTCTATATGCAAAACTTAAAAGATATCCCTCGTACAATCGAAGCTCGTTTTCATGCTGTTGGAAAGTATCCCTGTTCTAAACAATCATTAATGATGCCCGCGAAGGGAATGAGAACTACCGGTAGGCACAATTGGATTCGGTTACCTTTGCATCCGAATTTGGTGACTTCATTTCTTGTAATACGTCACTGGAGTGGATTTTGCTCAACGAAAAAGTGAGTTCTGGATATAACTTATTTTTGGAGTAATATTCGGTAACTTGCAGAATAACAGATTGACTGCTATATACATGAAATAATTATTAATTTTGATCGGATTATTCAAATATAAATATCTGCCATATTCAAACCGAAATCTACGGCTGAGTTGTCATGTAGAGCGCCTGCAACCAGATTTAACGATTGTTATATTTATTAAATCGGAAGATCATCCCAATGGCATTTAAACACGTTTTTTTCAAATACTGAGGTACTGGTAATTTTATTGGATGAGCATGCGATAATCTGTCACCTTCAAGCCCACCAATGAGAATTTTAGATTTTGTAATACGATATATTATATCCTTTCGAAACCAGCATTGAAGACTCTATTTACGAGTACATATGCATGTGCCAAAATCCAATATGGCGCCTATCGGGGAAACTAAGGTAGATGAAATAGGGCAGTAGACAAAGAATCGTATTGAAACTCCAAGGAGAGTCGGTTAAGCTGTGCAAGACGTAAATGTCAGCCACTTCTCCAGATGTGTAGTGTAAAAACCTCCGCTTAGCCCCATGACCAAAGACTAGTACTCTCAGTACTCCGCACTGCAGCTTAGTATTTCTTTCTTTCACACCGAAGCAGCCGCGCAGGCAGAAGCCCAAATGGCAGGGCATCGCGGCTGCTATGAGGATCCCAAAGAAATTTTTTTCATCCGATTTTTGAACTGCCTAAGGTTAGTAGAACTGGGAAAAGCATCCTCTTGTAAATTTTCTCACAATCTCGACACCATCGAGAAGAGCAAGCGGTCGTACAGGCCAGTTCTGGATGTACAAAGTTCGACACGGTTAGGATGGGAGGCCGAAGACAGGCGGGTCTGTCTGGCAGGCACATCGCGCGGAAAAGATAATGGAGAAGAGCTCCGAGGAGCAAAGCCCGTTGGTGTAGCGGTAGAGGAGAGTTAGTTCGCCTACGGCCCGCCTGAGACTGTCTGTTAGAGAAGAGTCATCGATCAGTCGGACAGCCCTTCTCTGGACTGCATCGAGCAGAGATAAAATAGTCGGGGCGGCAGCACCCCAAGCGTGTGAGCAATAGAGGCTAGGTCTTATCTGCGGCTTGTATAGAGTGAGGAGATCACGCGGAGAAAAGTACTTCTTAGCCCTAAACAATTTTTTTCCAGCAGCTTCCGCTACTGTCGAGACGTGTTCGTGCCAGGTCAAATTCTGGATGATCTGCCGGAACAAACGGCTCTTTGGCAGAACTCGGCCATCCATCGAAACCGGATGATTCCTAGGACGCTTTTTGTTCATCAAGGTACAGTACAGTGTTTTTGAAGCACTAAACTGTACAAGATGCGCCCTCAAGCCGTGATATCCTCCAGGTTTCTCGACGAAGAGGAAGTCGCTGCTAGACTCCTTTTTTCCAGGTCTCCGGAAGAGATCGGCTTGTCGCTGTAAATTCTGTTGATATCAATTCTAGTATTATATTCTTGAGATTCGGCCACTTCAGTCATTTTTAAATATGAAACGTTTCGTCAAGTTTGTACGTTATCTTCAGGTACATGTGATTGTCTAGACAGGCTTATCTTTTTGGAGTTTTCCGTGTTTAATGTCCAATTGCAATATTGGAGTTTATATTTTTGTAAATTATTCTTTTCCACTACTACTAGTACTAGAAAAGCTGATAGAGATAATTAAATTCCTGCCAACATCTGACTGGTGGACTGTACCAGATTCTTGCGTTCCCAAGAATAATTATAACCTCCAGCTCACTGGCCGTGTCACTCTGAGTTCCTACCTATGGAGTACTGTCAGCATCAAACCCGTGAACTGGACTGACATAGTACAGAAAGGGGTCGTTGAAACAATGTCGAGGCCAAGACCCAACCCTGGGAACACCCGCATTGTCATTGTGGGATGAAGAGGAGAACTCATTGGTTACGACGGATATCTTGTGGCCAGGATAAAGAAGTCAGCCACGCGTTTGCAAATCTTCATCCGTCAAGATGTAAAGAGTTTAAGCAAAAAGTGCAGGGTGCGGCAGAGAGGACGGACGTTTTTGGGATGGGTAGTACTCTCCGCCTCTGTCTACGAGAGACGTGGGGAGGGTGCCGTTTGACTCGTGAGATCCTAGCATTATTTTACCAGTTGTCGTTATGGAGCCTTGGTCGGTGGAGCACCGTGTTTTCGCCTATGAGTGACGAAGCCCACTTTCACCTAAACAGCATGGTTAACCAGCAGAATTGTCGTTATTGGGCTAATGAAAATCCGCGAAAGACCGCTGCACAGCCCAAAAGTAACAGTTTGGTGCGCTGTATTGCAAACTTGCATCATTGGCCCTTAATTCTTCGAAGACGGTAATGGTCGTGATGTTACCGTGAACTCAGAGCGCTACGTCGACATGATCACCAACATCTTTCTCCCTGAATTACGACGGCGACGTGTTTCAATCCGACGTGTGTGGTTCCAGCAGGATGGGGCGACCGCCCACACAGCCCGAGCATCCATGGACGTTATTCGCCCTCTCTTCCCTGGTCGCCTTATTTCCAGGTTTGGTGATGTTCATTGGCCTCCTCGGTCCCCAGATTTATCCATATGCGATTTTTTCTTATGGGGACACCTCAAGGCTAGAGTATACGCGAACAAGCCCCGAACTCAGGATGAACTGAAGGGCGAAATTCGCGTGGTAGTCGCCCAAGTTGAGAGAGCGATGTTGGAGAGAGTCCACGCGAACTTCCAAGAACGCCTTCAGCACTGCATCAACGATTTCGGCCACCACATGCCTGATGTGATTTTCCACACTTGACTGTCTCAAATGCTATTTCCTTGTGAACCTGATTCCATTAATAAATTTGTTTTAGAGTAAAAATTAACTATTTTATGATTTTTTTAAAACCGTCCATCCTCTCTGCCGCACCCTGTATAACAGGTTATTTGAATGCTTGAGAAGAATGTCGAAGAATCATAGTAATTGTAAATATGCATCATCAAGATCCCACTGCTTTGCATGGCTGTCCCAACTAACAATTATCACTCCTATTAGAGTTGCAAGAATGATTATACAGTATTCTTTACACAGTATTGTATACTGTAAGAACATTGGCAAAATCCTCTTAGAACAGCTATACAAGCGGAATGGGCTCGCCTAATAGGACACTTCAGTCATTTAAGAGGTTGTATAAGGGCTGCAGATAACAGTTATACAACATAAGTGTAAGCCTCTTGTAGCCGCTATATTGCATTTGCGTCAGTGCAAGATTCAGTTTTTGTCAACTATCCAACTATTCTGTTACGCGATTCTACGTTATTGCAACCAATTTCTTACGTATTATACAGACGAAGTGAAAAATATATAACTTACACATTACAGTCATCTTGTTTACTTACGTATCGGCCATTGTGAATTTCATACACAGGAATATGATAAACTTCTACACTGTGATATAGGGCTATTGAGTTACTTGCGCAGCAAATTTTATTGTGATTATCGTGCAAAGTAGTTACGCCGTTTCTACGGGCTTCGTATTTGATTCATTTTTAATAATGATCAAAAGTATGTCTAGATTTTTAAGATGGAAAACTGAACTTATCTGCGTTGAATCTTCCACAAATCCTAAATTTAGACACAATTACACTAATGTTTATCACTTTGTATCTCTAATTTCGAACTGAAACATAATTATTTAATATTAAATAGAGGAACAAATGTTTGCCCAGCATGGCGGGTGGTTGTGTATAATCGTGGCATCGTCCATGTTGTCTTTAGTTTATTAGAATATTTTGGTGTTGCCTGCAGGTGTTATACAACAATTTGACAAATGTCTGAAATGGAATACCGACACAGTCGAATGATTTACCCAGAATTTGTACCAGATCTATATCTTCTGTTTGAACAGTTGATAAAACCTTTTAAACCAAAGAGCATGCATTGTTTGTCTTAAAACATTGGTTATGGAATTTTAACAAAAATATGACAGCAGAAAGTTAGGTTATGGTGAATTTGTATATATTTAGCATATGTACAGCCTTTAGCAGTTACTAAACAACATCAATTTGTTGGCTAAAGTAGTAAATTGCATAGCAAAACAACAAGGCTCGGGTTGGTTTTATAAACGTTACCATGGATGCCACAACACAACCATTTTGACTAACGTGCAGATATGCCGTATAAAACAGTTGTATAAACGTTTATGCAACAGTTAAAAATTTGCCCTATAAGGTGTTGTATAACTATGCTATAAGAATATTTTAAACACCTCATTTTAGAGCAAATATGTTGCAAAAACACAACATTAAGCCAGCATTTTGGTGTTCAGGCAACAACAATAGAGAGCTTTTATGGCTGAATGGTTCTTTTACCAAAAGCTTATACCACAACTAAGCTAGTTGGGGTTGGACTATTCAACTAGCTAGTGCTTAGTGTGGATTATGTCAATCAGGTAGCGATTATTCTACATAATATGGGTGCAGTTCTAGAAGTTATAGGGAGATCATCAGAATACAAACGCCTTCTAACATCAACAAATTGTTTAAGCTTCATAACTGATCATATCTCCACAAGCCACTTCCTTTCTAGCAGGGGCTATTCGTAGATTTTCACATCAAATTAGCAGCTTCACTCTCCATAAACCAACCAGCAACGAACTTTTCTGAGCTGCGATGGAAAGCAGACAGCTGTGGAGCCACTTCAAAGTTTGGCGGTGTTATGCAGTGCCGTTAACTAAGGTTCTAATATGACCGCCCCTAGTTAAAATCGATGTCGGAAACCAGCCGCCTAATACACTGGCTAGCCGTGTTTCCGTTATAATCACTTTAAAATGGACCAGAGACGGCATAATAAGCTGCCATGCAGCGACAAACTTGGATTAGATGCGGCGTTGCCGATTATTTGGCCTGAGCAATTACAAAGTTTTGGAAAGCACCTACTCAACTTGACGGAAATGTCGTTAGCAGGGCCAGTGCTTAAGTTCCATGGGCGACGAGTTCTGCTCTGCGTTTCTGATGTTCATAAAATGATGCTTGAAATTGATAAACTTCGATGCACGCATGCGCGGTGGTAGCCTCACGGAAATGTCAGTGGAGGCTCTCTAGGTACTTTGCAATGTGTGAGAATCCAAAAGTGATAGAGCGTCCGGGAGGGGGATACGATTCTTAAATTAAAAAAATATCGTCCACCCTGGAGGGCTCTTCATTTGAAACTAGTAATAGTTGAAAAGAGAGGAGAAATGTTTTGCTTTAGTTTCGGAATGAGATTGGTACAAGAGGTTATCTTCAGGCTCAATGAGGATGACTCAACGCCAATTTATCTGGTCGCCCAACATCAGCACATCAGTTTCCACTTTGGAAGTATTGCCAGTGCACCAGTCCACTTGCTCCTCCTGGGCATGATCAGCCGGATTTCGCTCACTTAGGTTTAGAGTTTCTTTTTGTGTGAATTTGGATATTCTCCTGGATTAAGTATAGTCAGTTTGATGCTTGCCTCTATAGGTTATTGGTAGCTCTTCATTATTTACTATTGTCGGTTATACAGGGTGAAAACGTCAAAACAAGTGAAAAAGTTCATATGACCCATGGTACAAAAGTCAATAGATTCTTGTCTAAATGGCTTTATAGTTTACTACTTTATGTACTTTGTATCGACCACAATCACCACAATCTTACTAATTTCTATAATCTAATCTAAAACGTTTTTGAATTGGGTAATTAACAAATAAATGGCATGAAGTTTTTCTAAGTTAAGCCAAAGTTCGTAGTCAGTAAGTAAGTTTCATTAAATTAAATATTCAAAACACACATGACAACAGCGCGTCGGTCTTTCGTCACTCTTATCGAACCGGCAATCGGTCGCAAACTATAACAGTGGTTAGTTAACGTTTTGTATAGATTAATTACTTTATCGTTTTGTCGAGCAGACCATCGGGAGTGTTGTTTTGTTTTTGTTCGCGTACGTCGTCGTATCTTATTACAATGTTCTCGAATCAATAGTTCGCTGACATGTTGTTAGTTTACGGTGAAGCTCGTCAGAATTCAAATTTTGCAGCTCAAATTTATCGCGACTGATTTCGCCAACGGGTACACCCAGACAGAAGGACATTTGTGCAAGTGTACCAAAGACTTCGAGATACAGGAAGTGATCAGCCCACTAATATTCGCACTCGTGAAAGGCCGGTTACTTTAGAGCAGGAGGCAAAAATTTTAAATACCGTGGAAATCAATGCAAATATCAGCACTCGGGAATTAGGCTGCCGCGTAGGGCTATCGCATAGCATAGTCCATAGAAACCTACGGGAAAATTTACTTTATCCCTACCATGTACAACAAGTGCAGGCCTTGGTTATCAGAAGATTATCGTCGCAAACTAACATTCTGTCAGTGGTTTTTGCACAAAAACATTGAAAAACCGATTTTTTTCAAAAACATCCTAGCGACGGAAGAATGTACTTTTACGCGAGACGGAATATTAAATTTCCATAATACTCACACGTGGGCCCAAGAAAATCCCCATACCATTCATGAAGGTCATTTCCAACAACGTTCTAAAAAGAAATATTTGACGATTAAGTAGTTGGCCCTTGAGTTACCCCCAAAGTTGTCAGGAGAAGAATACCTCAGGTTTCTAGCCAATAACCCACCAGAACTTTTGGAACAGACCTTAGACAACATGCCATTACAACGGAGACAAAATTTGTGGTTCCTTCATGACGGGGCACCACCACACATTTTTTGAGTCGTAATTCAGTATTTGAATGAACATTATCCAAATCGCTGGATCGGTCAAAATGCTCCTGATCCTCTAAAATGGCCAGCAAGATCTCCTGATCTCAATCCGATGGATTTCTGGTATTGGGGAGAACTTAAAGGGATGGTTTATGGGGCTGGTCCACTAAGAACTGAAGCAAAACTTCGCGAAACAAATTTTAATGCGGCTGAAATAATAAATGGACAACTTCG